ACTACACATTCTATTCCAAATCAAAAAATGAAGAAAAATATAAAATTTGTGTTGTTCCTCTAAAAAAAATGAAGAAAAGTGATTAGACTGTTCAAAAAAAATAGCAGTGTTTGTATTCTTCTTTACAAACTCAAACATTCACTATATAAACTGAAAAATGTTTGAAGATTTTGCTTTCCTATGAATCACTTAATATTTAGTTGTATAAGCACTGTTTCTGAGAACTGCTGTACATCTGTTTTGCATGGAGTCAACAAACTTCTGGCACCTGTGAACAGGTATTCCAGCCCAGGATGATTGGACTACATTCCACAGTTCTTCTCTATTTCTTGGTTTTGCCTCAGAAACTGCATTTTTTGTGTCACCCCACAAGTTTTCTACTGGATTAAGATCCGGGGATTGGGCTGGCCACTCCATAACGTCAATCTTGTTGGTCTGGAACCAAGATGTTGCACGTTTACTGGTGTGTTTGGGGTCGTTGTCTTGTTGGAACACCCAAGGGCATTTCCTCTACAGCATAAGGCAGCATGACCTCTTCAAGTATTCTGATGTATTCAAACTGATTCATGGTCCCTGGTATGCGATAAATAGGCCCAACACTGTAGTATGAGAAACATCCCCATATCATGATGCTTACGCAACCATGCTTCACTGTCTTCACAGTGTACTGTGGCTTGAATTCAGTGTTTGGGGGTCGTCTGACAAACTGTCTACGGCCACTAGACCCAAAAAGAACAATCTTACTTTCATCAGTCCACAAAATGTTGCACCATTTCTCTTTAGGCCAGTCAATGTGCTCTTTGGCAAAATTGTAACCTCTTCAGCACGTCTTTTTTTCAACAGTGGGACTTTGCGGGGGCTTCTTGCAGATAGCTTGGCTTCACATAGGCGTCTTCTAATTGTAACAGTACTCACAGGTAACTTTAGACCTTCTTTGATCTTCCTGGAGCTGATTGTTGGCTGAGTCCTTGCCATTTTGGCTATTCTTCTATCCATTCGAATGGTAGTTTTTCGCTTTCTTCAACATCTCTTCAGGTTTTGGTTGCCATTTTAAAGCATTTGCGATCATTTTAGCTGAGCAGTCTATAATTTTCTGCACTTCTTTATGTTTTCCCCTCTCCAATCAACTTTTTAATCAAGGTACGCTGTTCTTCTGAACAATGTCTGGAACGACCCAATTGTATTTACTATTGTATTTTTTTACACAATTTGATTGCTTATAGCAAATAATTTCTTTGCTATAAGCAAGCATTTAACTGAATAAAAATCGATTCATTCAGGTTTTTTTGTTGTGATTAGCTGTGATTGGCTACGGCTAATCACATGACACAGATGGGCTGTGAATGGCCCAGCCTGTGATCACTGTGACCATTCACAGCTAGACACACTTTTATACAATGGATGGCATGAAAGGAAGCCATCCACTGTAAACAACTGTCATGTGACCTGTTGACAACATAAAAAAAAATGAGGGAACCACATGCCATCAAGAAAAACAGTAATAACCTGAGATATGCTCAACCCCTTCACTTTAAACCTAACAAGGGCTCTATCCTCTTCCTCCACTCTGTCCAAATTAAACATCTTCTCTGAAGTTAGGTGTTAAAGGGACATCACTGGAAAAAAAAAATCAAAATAAACACTCAGTTGGCCTGTATTTATCTCATTCCTGAATTAATGTCTTTATGTGACCAACTGCATTTCATATGCATTTATATCACACAACTGTAAATTTAAAACCACAATGCTCTATTCTGGATTTTCAGAACAACCTACAGTTTACTCATTTTTTTATTAGCCATTTTCTTTAACATAACAAAAGGCACATAATGAGTTTCAAGATTGTTTTAAATTAACATATAAATAATAATTATTAACCGATTTGTAGCACTGTACTGGACACACTTTTAAATTCATAAAATGCTTCAATTAGGAGGTAATCAAAAATCTAAAAACAGGTACAATCAGTTCTCTACATGGGGTATCTGGTTGAAAGCTGAGGCAATTCATATATCAAACAAATGTTCAAAAGATCATAAATGAATGCATACATTTTTCAGCATTACAGTCATTCATCCTAATGAATATATCTACCACCCACAGGCATGTATGAACTGCAAGTCAAATTGCTGTATGTCTGCTTTGCAAAGTATACTTTTCCTGCTCAGTTTCCCTATGTTTATAGAGCAGGTAGTCCACCTCTGCAACTTGAATGTTGTCACTTTTTTTTTGCAGCTATTATATTTTAAAACCTGGAGTTAGGCTTTAATACATAAAACATAAAAAAAAAGGTCACTTCAATCAATGTAAACAACAATCTCGAGATCCATCAATTATCTCCTGAAAAGATTGATTACAAAGATAAACATGTAACTTTGGTAAAATACAAAGATATAATCAACTTTGTTCAATTTCCTTTACTTCCAAAACAAGACATGGAAATGGAGTGTGTTGACACAAAATTGCCATCCAGGTGATTTATACATTACCTTGCACACAAAGTAGCTGAGTATCAGGGTTATCTATGCCCTTTTACTGGAAAGGGCTTGAAAAATGATCTGCACTTTGTAAATCAAGGAGCAAAGTGCATGTCAGTGCTCAAACTGGGGCCAAAGAAAGAAAACTAAACTAAAATGCACATTCAATCCTGAACTAAATGCGTCATTTCTTCATACAACAGGTAGATTTTCTAAACTACTTACAGAGAGGAGGTCAGTAAATTTCTATGCTTTGTTTCATTACACAAAGTACAAAGACATTTTATACTAAAAAGGTAGTGTGCAGGCTAAGAAATGACACATTCAAGGATATCTAAACACCCAAGAAAAAAAAACCTAACATGTTGCAGTACTAAGATGTGATAGCTGCATGATTTTTTTTTTTTTTTTTTGGCAGCATAAGTGCATTTTCTGTAAATACAGAAAATTGCTTCTCAAACACTCATCAGCGTTCCCAGCTAGATTCTGTTATTTACAGAACACATCCTCCATTATAAACGGAGATAAGAAGAGGAGGCAGTGTTTGTGGTACAAAACAAAATGTATAAAACCAATGCAGCCACTGCAGGTAAACTGCAATATATTACATTTTTTATTTTAGGGATACATACGGTTTAATGGGATGTGCTTACATGCCTTATCATTGTTCATAAAATATCTAAAGGATACTCAGCTTAAGTGGCGTCTGCTATGATGCTAAATATGTGGCTCTAAAGCCAATTGTCAACTCGTGAACCAAAGCTAGTTCCAGGCAGCAAAGCTGAACTTACTGTGTTTTAGTGCAAGGCAAAAATTAGTTTCAACCAGAAAACATATGTGCATGTATTTTGCTTCATCAGTCCCTTTAAAAAGGTAGCATTACCTTATTAACTGCATAGCTTATTAATTTTAATTCTATGTTCTGCAGCTACTTTCTATTGCGGTTGCCCACACATCGATACCATATTACACGTACCCCTGTTCACAGGTGTCCACCAGTTAAACAAAACTAGAACTTAAAATACCAGTTACTGGTATGGTGGTTTTCAAGTCTTTTTCAAGTTATTTGTAAAGAAAAAATAAATATAAATATGTTTAGAAGTCATCAAACTACACACAGTAATGTGCAAAACTTCAGTTATCAAGTACAGTTGATGCAGGAACAATTTTTACTGAAATTTTGAAAATTAAAGCGAATATGGCACCGAATCTAAGTTTACTGTGCATTCCTGTCTCATCAGTCCAAAAAGAAACCGTTGGTAGCGGAGTTTACAGGTGCTGTGCAGAGACATCTGATTTCAGCAGACAAGGTACATGGGACCTGTCCTAAATGGCAGCTGATAATAAAGCCAAACATCTTTGTACACTGCAGCTTTGTGCAATGTAGGCTTCAAAAACCATACTACTGGCCAACAGACACATTCACCAGCCACTTTATTAGGTACACCTTGCTAGTGCCAAGACAATATCCCCAACACCATTGCACCACCACCTGCCTAAACCATTGATAAAAGGATGGATCCATACTTTCATGTTGTTTATGCCAAGTTCTGATCCTACTATCTAGATGTCGCACCAACCAGTCTGCCCATTCTCTTCTGACATCAACAAGGCATTTTCAGGTGTACCTAATAAAAGGGACCGGTGAGTGTATATACACAAACACACACACTATATACACCTATACTGTATATAAGCATGCTATACATTATTGCCGAACAACTTTGTCATCCAGCTGGCATAGAGTATATCAACAAAAAAATTATCTGATGTCTATTGTTAGCGAACGACTAAACATACAATAGATAGGCATTTGGGAATGCAGAGCAATCTGCCCTTTATTTGTATTCTAAAGCTGGGTATACGCATATCAAAATAGGAAGCCCCATATTTTATCAGTGAACACAAGGCTTGCTCTGATGGGCTGATGTAGAGAGGTGGGTCTATGATGTTGCATGCTCCAACAGAGGAAGCCTTGTATTCACTGATAAAATGCAATGCTTCCTGTGAATGGTGGAGCAGCACTCAGCCTAAATTGATTTAATGCCGGGAAGTCCATGTACCACTGCTGGACACAGAGCTGCATACTGTATCCTTGCCCTGGGTACTGATAACCCTGTCCTGGTACTGTTAGCAACGGCAAGCCTATATATTGTTCACACAATGACTTCCATGACAGACAGACCCAACATAAACCAGCACAGTTTTCTAGGTAGCTTATTACCCTACAGCTTACTAACTGCACATATTCTTCAGTGTATCTGTACCACTCCATTGAGTAATCACTGCAAATAAAATGACCAGATTATTTACAAAATTACAGATAGATATGTTTCAGTTTCCAAAACCATATTTGAGAAAGCTTGGAGTATCCTAAAAGATTGATTCATCTTTTTTAGATTCTGTGGGCATTCAGATTTGTTCTTTCACCAAAATAGTTCTTGCATTATTTTTAATAAATGTGGTTATCCTTAAAGTAAGTAGCATGGCATTTAGTGTTCATTCTGAAATAGTTCCTTTCCACTAGTGGCTGGAATATCTCATCCTGGAGAAATAGCTCTTTATCTCTTCAGTGTCGACCTCTTCAGTCCCAAGCCCAATCACTGTTGCATTACTGATATCCTCCTTTAATCTCCTCTTAGATACAGTCAGATTGCCTGGGTTTTCCATCATTTGAGGTCCTGTGATCAGAACATAGCAGGCATGCCGGCTGCGTTCAAACAAAGCCACTTTCAAAACAAAAGTAAAAAAAAAAATATCATTCATTGATAAACAGTAACAAAAAGCAAAACGAAAACTTAACAAGTGTTAAAAACGAACTTCCCGCAACTCCTGTCACTTTTGAAATTTGTGCAGCTATGCTCGGCTCTGCCAGCACATCCACATAATTGATACACAGAAATCTGCAAATGAATAAACGCTAAGCCCTGTCAGCTGCCTACTCCAAGGAACACGATTGTGGTAGTCATCCATTGGCACTTCCTTCAGCTCTAAAAATGGAAGTCTGCACAGTGGTATGGACAGGGAACTGGAGGAAGAATCTGCAGGAGCCTGGCACTGCACCCATGATCCATTGATCTGATTTGCAAAAAAAAAATAATTGCATTTTTTTTGTAAAAGGTGGACTTAGCCTTTAGCACAATACAATCAAAAAAACAATATGAGTTACAGCCATTGCCAATGCACACAGCCATTTCTACTTCTCATCAATGCTTCCTTGCTGCCTTAACCCTTTCCTCTCATCTCCTTAGAATAGGCCTATTTACAACACGCCAGATCAGTAAACCTTTACAGCAGCTTCATTTTTCCTAATCTTTGGTAATGGTTATGTAAGCAACCATGAATGTTTATGACATTGGTGCTCGGGAACCTGTCATACAAATGACTGTAAAAGTTGTTAAAAAACCAAGATCAATATCTTTCTCATGAAATAGAATGGAGCAACAAGGCAGTGGCTGCTATACTCTGACATAGATAAGTATCCAAACTAGGTAGAGGAAGTTTGTATAGGCAATCCTCTCATGTACTGTAACCTCAAACTGAGCCCTTAGAGTAAATGTCTTCAAATGGAGAATAAGGCGTCACAAGATTTTTACAGTCCAGAAATAAAGTTATTAGATTCAGGTCCTTTTAAAACGCCAAGAAAATTAGGGTTCAAATTCAAAATATCAACCAAACCACTCTCTTCGATCCTCCCAAGACCTTTTTCTCTCTACTTCCCGTGTCACCTCCTCCCATGCTCACTTCCAGGACTTCCCCATCCTATGAAACTCTCTACCCCAACCTGTCCAGCTGTCTCCTAATCTATTCACCTTTAGACGATCTCTGAAAACCTCTCTTTTTAAAGAAGTTTTTCTTAACATACTGTTATCAGTGCAGTACGGGATCATCATATGACTGGTGTGGCGGTGATCAGGGACACTGACTGATGAAAGTAAGTAAAAAAAACAAAAACAAGCAAACAATATTTTTTTTAATTACATTTTTTTAACATTTGGGGTTTTTTAACTTTTTTTTACAATTTTTTTTAACATCCTGTCATCAGAGTAGCTCAGTGTTACCATAGTGACACTGAACTACTCTGGGGGGTGGGGTAAACCGGGATTTTTTTTTTTTTACACTGTTTTTGCTTATACAGATCACGGTATAAGAAATAGTTGTAGTTGGTTTAACCATTAACATCTTGCTTTTGGATGTGATCATGATTGGCTACAGCTTATCACATGGTACAGGTAGCCAGGTACCATATGAATGCTCTGGGCCAAACACAGATTACAACCGTAAGCAAGCTGTTGATGGATGGAAGGCCATTCATGACAGGTTGTTTATACTGTTATCATGTGATCGCTATGACCAATCATAGCGATCACATGTTACCCAGTTACTGATTAGCAGTAATTGTAAGCCACATGCATGATGATGTACATATACATGACTGTGCCTGCACGTGGTTAAAAGAAGGATCCCATCTGAGTACATCTGTTTGAAGGTGAGAGCACACTTTTGAGGGATTTGGTGGAGGTGTCATGTGGATTCATTATTGAACTATCACTATTAATTTATTGTGAATTTTCACCATTTGGTACGGACATTTCTGACTGAGGACATTGTCACTAAAATTCAAAATATCACTATCATCAGTTTATCATTGAAAAGTTATTTATTGAGTTACAGAAACAGTTTTTTTTTCTTTTGACATATAGATTTTACATGAATAAAAGCTGAGCATTGTAAACTCTCCTGTCAGTGGTAAATGGTTTGTCTCAACCCTCTAAATACTACATCTGCAGGAGAGCTTGTTGTTTTAAAAAAACAGACTTACTGGCTAGATAACCAGATAAAAATAAACCCTTCTAAAGAAAACGAATGCAGCTATCATAGCTAAGAACGGGTTAGCTGCAATGTGATAAAATTTGCTTTTGGGTTTAATACTACTTTAAGGCCAAATTCTAGTCCCCAATGTAGGATGGTCAGAATATGAGGCACAGTGTAATTTCGGGGGATGGAGAGCCTGTGTTCACGCCATGCAAAATACAATTTCCAGGTACTGTATCTCATTTGTGAAGTTGCTTTTCTGGCTCTGAGCAAGATAGAGCAGGGGGCCTTGAAAGAGCAGGACCTGGCATGTTTGGAAGAGGCCAGGGGTCACCTCCCTCAATTTTGAGTATGTCTGTCTGCCAAGTTCTTCTGGGCCAGTTTGGTGAAATGAGAATAATGGATTTTTTATTTTCCTAGCAATCGAGGAAGGATCCACACTGGCAAATGTTACTTGGAAGACAGTGTTAACTAACCTGGAGGAGGAGCCAGAGGTGATGAGAATGGCCTCTCTTACACTTTTGGCACAGGACCCCTGGTAAAGCGAACAGGTGGCATTGGCACAGAGTGGCACGAGTGACTTGTTATTCTTGCCAGCAGCTGGTACAGGTAGACAGGTGTATCTAAACCAGACAGCACTGAATAGCTTTCCGACAGTAGATAGACTAGAGACTGGACACAGGGATGTACACAAAACAGCATTAGCCACGTGTAGATGATCAGTTTAGATAGCCTGCTCGGTGCCAGAATTAGTAACAGGTTCACACATTAGTCCTGGCAATAGAAGTAACCTGCTATTGAACTTGCAGGACAGGATGTCCACATCTGAAGTCCTCCATTTCTGGCATATCAAGATGAAGGGACTACTTTTGACAGCTGAGGAAATCTGCCTGCCAATTGTCCACTCCACAAAATGTGAACAGCAGAATGCGCTACACAATGGTACTCAGTCTTGAAGAAAATGTCTGATTTTCTCATGGACAGTTTGACTCCTGGTACCCTTTGATGATTGATATAGGTCACTGCTGGAGCATTGTCTGACTGCACCCTTATTGGGTGCTCTTGGAGAAGGGGGTACAGTGATGGAAAGCTAGTTTTTATTGCTCTGCAATCCAGGATTTGATAGGGAAATTTGCTTCCCTTGGGGGTCCAGGTTCTGTGAACTGTGATAATTTGGAACATTCTCCCCTAGCCTGTGAGGCTGTCATCTGTTGTTATAACCTTCAATGAGCATGGAAGAAATGGCTTCCTCCTTTCTAAGGTTGGGTTGTAAATCCACCAAAATACAGAGTTCCTTGCTTGACTGAAGACTAGGAAGATCGAAAGAGAGTGTGTTCCAGGCAAACAGAATGTTATGCAGAAGAGGCCTTCAGTGGAGCAGAGTGAAAGGAGCATCCTCAAATGAGGCTGCCATAAGGCTCAGGACTGTAAAGGACATTATCACAGGGGAATGTCCATTTGAACTTAAGGTTTGAGCATGAGATTGAGCAGGAGAGGCAAGTTTGTTTGCTGAAAGAAAAACCATTGCCTGGGCTGTGTTTAGGCTTAAGTATTCTTGGTGAGAGGTAGACTGGACAGCAAACGTTTGAAAACTGATTACCCAGCCGAAGGCCTGAAGCATCTGGATAGCTGTTTGGACATCTGCAGATAGTTTTCATGGGGATGAATCCTTCAGAAGAAAGCAGACTTAGTACCCTATGACCAGGATTCCCCAAAGTTTTTAGAAGGACGAGTAGGGGTGCAAGCACCTTTGTAAATACTCTGAAGACCAAGAATAGGCTGAATGGCAGTGCAACAAATCAGAAAGCACTGGTGAAACAAATAAATGGAAATGTGCAGGTAGGCATATCTACTAATACAAAGATCTTGTCTCAGAAAGGCAATTACTGACCTTGCTTATTTCATGCAAAACTTTGAAAAAAGCAAGTACTTATTTAGTGGTTTTAAGTCAAGGAAGAATTTGACACTATGAACATGGCTGAACAGAATCCATTTAACCTGCTATCTATAGGGACTGGAATGACCACTAGCTGGGACAAGAAATAGTTCAGATTGCAGTAATAGCTGGTTACAGAGCTTTCTCAATCAACGTTAACTATTTTTAACCATTATGTTGCTATCATTAGTAAATGGATGGGAAAGTATTGTATGTGATAATATAGCATATATGTACTTGGTTTAATTTTTTTTTATATTTCTTCAGTTACCTGGTTTCCAGGCCTAGTCAAATTATGTCATACATCCCATGAGTCTGCAGGAGGGGAGAAAGGGTTTTCTCAGCTAAGTACACCCTCCTGTATGCATACCTGGGCCAGGGGGAAATGGATTCCAGGAAGTAAATGCTACAAGAATCATCTTCCCTTACTCAAAATGGCTAAGACCAGAAAAATGCTAGCGAGTGTGTTTCAAAGTTATTTCTCAGCAGCTTTCAGGCTTTGTTGAGGCAGTGAGAGATTAGACATAGACAGCAAGTCTTGGGAACGAGCCAGCACGAGAAAGTGCCTATGGGGGCACTCCGTGAAAAGGAGGAGCCAGGAGCGCCAGTAAGGAACCCAAGAAGAGGAGGTTCGGGGCCACTTTGTGCAGTTCCATTGCTCAGATCAAGCAAGTATAAACCTTATTAAAAAACCCTTTTACCAAAAGAGGCATAGCAAGACAAAGACTCAAGTGTGCCAAGGCTATTGTGCACAGCAGAAGTGAGCATGTCTACACAGGCAAGCGTTTTAAGTGAAACCGGTGTATCGGTATATAAGAGCGTGGGGGTGAGAAGTCTTCTGCAGCCTGTAGCAATTTCTTTCTTTTTTCACTTATGACTCAGGAAAAGAGCCTGAGCACTTTTTTTTAGCTCTGGACAGGAATGGCTGTATTAAGGTGATTAACTCTCTGAGAAAGTCTGACATAGTTGAAGAAATCTGCCTTGTTCAGAAAGGCTGCATGTTGAATGATAGAGATAGAATTAGCTTTGGATACAGAGATTGGTGCTAAAATAGGGTCCTGCTCTGCTGAAGGGAAGCACTGTCACTTTTAGTGACTTCAGTGTTTTCAGAAATTTCAGCAGATCGAGTGTTTGCCTGAATTTTTTTGCCATGGTCCACCCGTGCCTAGTTTCTGCCATTACTGTCAATGAGGGTATTCCCCTGTGGGGTTTTCAGAGTATGGTGAAGAAATTCAGTAATCGTGACTGCAGAAAGATGCACAGAAACCCAGGTGTTGAGCGTCCTGTAGTGAAGTTTTTGCTGCAAAAACCATATAAAGGCTCTCTGCAGAAGTAGTGGTCAGTACGACCTGTGGTGTGATGTAACATCTAGCCATCCACCAGAAACTAAGCTCTTAATGGGGCAAATCTTACCCCCAATTCTGAAAGTTTAAACACTCGATAAGTGAATAAACTCAAACACATTCCCAGTTTCAAGGAATGTAGATATTAATTCTCATACTTGCTAGCCTGTAAGGGATACAGTATTGGTCTGATTACAGGATGAACCTATCTTATATGCCAATTGACCTTGGCCCTTATATGGGTCTAGGTTTTGTCTGTCAAGGTGAGCATACCTCTGGAGGGGTCTTCAGGGTCTGGGAGTAATAGGAACGGCTCTTGAACTGTTCATCACTCTGTTGCTAACTGCATGCGTTGCACTCAGTGCCAAAGTTTGTGACCAAGCAGGACCCAGTGCCTCAAGCAACATTACAGGACATCCCCACAGCGTGGGGTCCGGTTATGGTTTCCAATGTATTACTAAGGTTACACTGATCCAGATTGCATGGCTTCTAATGTTATAGTAGAATGCAGTGAAGAATTGATTGAGGAATCCAAAATAAAAAAAAATAGTGGTGCATAGAAAGACTTCTTCATCAGGGAAAACAAATCCATCACTTAAGGACACTAGCAATAAACTAAGGTTTCACAGAATGGGAAAGGGTTATAGGAGTACAGGAGGTTAAGCGCATTATACTGCATTTATACTAAGTGTTTGACATTGTGCCAGGTCTGTGTTTTCCTTCTACTACTATATCTTTTCTTTAGTGTCTCTATTCAGTATCACATTTTAAAAACGGAAAGTTTCTAGTATGCAGAGCATTTCTTGTATGTGCACACCTACTTGGCAATATTCTCACATTGCCAATGTCTAATACTGTATATATAAAAATGTTGGAGCTCTCAGGCATGAGAGCTCTGCACTATATCAGACAGCAATTTCTTTTATGCTTTTGTTGTTGAGCAAATCATCGCATCTTCATTACTCATATATTGTAAAGAAGCAAGATTTAAACTTACCACCAAATATGATAACATTTTCAGTATGACTACTTAGATGCATAAGTACTTTTGGCTGGGATGGGTGAAACATATACAGGTTTTCTTTCAGCTCCATCTACAATGAAGGGCAGATTTTATTTTGGTGTTATCTGAGTTTCTAAATATTTGTGCAATATATTCATTAAATATTTAATGATTACGTTTGTAAAAAATGCACTGTTATTTTAAATAAAGCAAAATGAAATCCCTGTAGAACAAGTTATTTTGCATATGCAATTAAAACAAGAAGACTACAGCTTTACTAACTACTTCACTGCACGCTTTAAACAGTAAAAGTGGTGCTGCTGCTTACAGAATCTAGGAAAAGACAAATTAGCTGTAAAGTGAATTATATCAAACATGTTGTATATCCAACTGTGGAAAAAACATTTAATACATGCAGAAAAAGGCTTTTGTCATTTTCAGTGAAAATTCTATAAACCATCCAAAACCTTCACATTTAAAGCTGGAGTACATTCAAGCACATATTTACCTGCCAAAGGGTTACCCTGTCAGACAGAACAGCCTGATTATCAATTACCACTGTAGCAGAAGCAAAACTTCTACATCATAAACAGCAGCTAGTATCAAAGTTCAAAGTATAAGAACACCAATAAACATGAATAAAAAGTCCACATAGTGCTATTAAAGTACTGTTTAAATAAGTGAAACTGAGAAAATAGTCTGGCAGGAAGATGCTGTGGTCGAAAGTGTCATCTTTTTTCCTACAGTTTACATTTAGGTGGGTGGGGGACTACTATGAGGGGTATTCAAGTCAAACTGGGACTTATGAGTTTGTATATTAAAAGAACAAATTTCAAGGAGTGGATACCGCATTTATTTTTCAACATACTCCCCTGCTACATTTATACACTTATTCAAGCTTTTAACTAATGTCTGGAAAGCTGTGGCATTAAAAGATTTGTTAGTACACCTGAACCATCCTAGGACAGCCTGCTTCACTTTGTCATCATTGTATTTACCGGTCCCAGAGAAAGATTCATCTTTTGTGCAATTTATGCATCGATTATCCAGGATAAGGCATTCCACTCGCTGAATGTTCACAGAAATGACTGCTGTAGGCTGGGAACCACCACAGCTGGGAACATCACTGATGGATGTACGGCCATCTCTGAAACTTTTACACCATTTCAGTGTCTTACTGTGGCCGAGCTTGAAAGTCTTCTCTAGATATCAGTGGGTTTTACGCCTTCTTTCACAAGAAACTTCATCACCGCACGCTGTTTCATGCACCCACTTAAGACTATTGTCCGCCATCTTGATTAATGATCTCTGGACTGCTCCACGACATGTGCGCCAAATATCAGTAATAGGACACACTTGCCATTTACTACTGTGTGTAGTACCGCCACACTAGCATCCCTTTTTATACCCGCAAAATTAAAAGTCCCGGTTTGACTTGAATTCCCCTCGTACAAAGTGGTGGTCCCTTACTTTTTGCTGGAAGATCTGTAGTAAGGAAGTGAAAGGCATAAAGGAGCAGCATCGGGAAGGACTAAGAGCAGAGAGAGGAACCGAAAAACAGTGCAGAGGGAAAAAATTTAGTGAGACTTGAACACGGTTATCTGTCAAGCTCTTCCCATAAAAGGAGTTAAGATAGTAATCAAGGTAATATTCAGAGCAGAACATGGACCAAAACCTCTGTCAGTGATGTTCAAGCAGCTAAATGGTGATGTCAATACACTAGAAGAGTAGGAGTAAAAAGCCATTAAAAGGAAACAATATCAAAGTAGATCTCTGGATAAGAAAAAACCGACATGGGCAAGCAGCAATCAACAAGAAAAGGCAAATAGATGTAAAAATGAGCAGACCAGTAACACAAGCATCCTTTAAGCTAAAAGCACAGGACTAAAGCAACCTTCAGCATATGGCAATTACTGACAAGTTGTAAAAGGACAGATAGTTACACTATGGCTAGAGTTCAGGTGACAAAAACAATATCACAATTTTACACATATAGTGTGATGGTGAGCAAAATTAAACTGGTATAAACTCACAGTGTTATTAGAATCAGTTGAATATTCTCCCCAGAAAAGGAAAGTGGAGCGGTGGTCGCCTGTATTCAATACACCAGGATTTTGTCTGACAGTTCCTACATTCATTTCAATTTCCCATTGCAGAGTCCCACTTTTGCTATCTATAATAATAACCTGCAAAAAAAATGATGTAAAGTTTACTATTTAAAAAGATCGATAAAAAGAAAATACAAAAAGGTATATCTGCAAAATCATAGGGATTAGAAGGTCATCAAGGCCTTATGCACACAGACGTGTGGATGCTTGGGGAGCTGCATACAGCCATCAATACAAGAGAATGACTGTACGTCGCCCTACTTGTGTAAACACTGAGTGCTTTTGCATTTGCATTTACCTGCACATGCACGTGCAGAGGTTTTCCCCAAATGTGACACTTCTGGATCTGGGGAAAAATGCCAAACAAGCATGCACGGGTAAATGCAAATGCAGAAATGTTCAGCGTTTACATGAACATGGCTGCGTACTGCCATTTACTTGTATTGGCAGCTTTATGCAGCACCCCAAGGTGTAGAAAAGTGCTGAGAATTTTACACTAGCAGACTTGCAGACACTAGACACCTTCTAAACATGAGACCTAACAAAGCTAACTAAATGTTTCAAGTACTATCCTGTAAACCTAAATGTAAAAACATTTATGACTAGTTGACATTGTAAGCCAAGTGAGCAAAATAATCCACATTGTAAAGAATATTCCCAACCCTATTTTGTCACATTATGCTTGGAAAAAGACTTACACCCCAGTCACATCGGGTGTGAATTGGCATGCGATTTGCATGCCATGCGACTTGCAAATCGTATGCTGAGTTGCACCCTATTGTCCGCTATTAGAGTGGTCATATCGGTGTGGTTTCCGACTTGGTTGGAGCCGCACCGATTTTTAAAGTAGTGCATGCACTACTTTTGTTGTGATTTGCATAAACATCTGTGTCAGATGTCTTGCAAATCGCAACTGGAATCGGCTTTGATGTGACCGGGGGCGTAACAATAGTCCGCTTTAAAAATGATAACATTTTGAAGGTTTCTGTTTGAAAGACTGTTGTAATGTCAATGTATACATTTCAGTTAACTGCAGACCGTTTTAGACAGTCCTCCTCGGCAGCAAGCAAAATGCAAACATTTCTATCAAAGGAACAGTAGGCTCAATTAAAAAAGTTTTAAGGCCCCTTTTCATATAGGGTGGATTCCGTTTTAATCAGCACGGGATCTGCTCACACATCTCTTGCTGATTGGAGCAGAGTGGGCGGATGACACATCCATATCCATTCAGTTTCTGCAGAGTGGACACTGACGGAGCCTGCTCTACTCTATGGGTGGGCTCGGAGTAAATGGACACCACTGTCTCTTTACACCCAGCTAACCTCCTCTACGATCCACCGAAATGGAAGAGACAGATCCCCTTTATTTAGTGGACTGGATCAGCCTCGGAGGTAGGCGGGTGTAATAGGACAAAGACCTTTAACACCCGCCTGTCCTTAGGAATGAATTGACCTTCTGATCAGGTCCGCCTGAAAAACAGACAGGCGGACCTGATCAGATGGCCCATGTGAAAGGAGTCTAACAAAGAAGTATCTTTATTTCCAGTCATGTGACAATTTTTAAATCTTACTGGACTTAGCTTAAAATAATATTTTTGAGAATGAGAATTCTAAACAAACAATATAAGGAGTACTTTCTATGAATATTTTTCACTACCATGCTTACAATGCCAATGTTACCATAAAAACGGAATTACATTTTTTAAGTAAATCTGTCACAAATTTGGACAATGTAAGGTAAGCATATTCTGAAAAAATAAAAAGTAGAGGCTATGATCATGTTAAAGTGATCAGTAGATCCACAGAAAAAGAAAGCTGAAGTTATAAGCAAATTTTCAAAATTACTTTTGCTAGAGCTGGGGGGAGAGGAGTCAAGCTAATTGTTTACAGAAGAGTCAAGATATGCAAATCATTTATGCATTGTTTTATGTTTTTAGTATGTGCCCCATTTAATCTCCCAGGTTTATGACACTGTTAACTTTGTAAATTCAGCAAATCAAACTTGCAAATATAAGGATTTCTGACTTACCTGTAAAAGAAGCTGGTATTAAATTAGGCAGAAAGGTCCAGCTAAACAGGATGAAAAAAACTTCCCTATACAGTAATATATACCATATATGTATCCAATGTCTGTGCAAACACCAATCAACTTAAAATGTTACTAAACCCAGGACCCTGCATTCACTATATTTGGTCTCCCACAGTACATAGAACATGGAAGTGCAATTATTTTAGTAAATATAAACTGCTAAATACCTTTCCTCATCAGCACTTAGAGCAGTCTTGTGACTTCAGCTGAGCACTGGTTAAAGCTTGTAGGAGGAGTTTTCTTTCAGCTATAGGAGGATGCAGAACCCCTGACCCTCTGCCTGGACAGTGCTGATTGGCCCTGTGCCGATCACATGCACTCTCCCAAGGAAAAAAAAAAAAACCTCTCTAGCAATGCACACTAAACTGAGCATGTGCAGAAGGGCTACGGTTCAGTCTGTCTTATCAGCGTGGACATTTGAACAAGAAGAGGGGCAGAGAAGTCAGGATCAAACAGCCTTTTTACACAATGCAGAGGATTAACCCATTAGGTTCCACAGTGAGTATAACAAGCATGCTTTACTGCATATACAGACTGATTTTACTGTTGTGGGTTTAGTAACACTTTAAAGTTCAAATAATTGTGCAGGCTTCTTCCAAAACAATAAGTGCCAAAATTACTGTGTGGTGCTGCCCTCCTTTATTTCACACTCACGGACAATTGTTGACTCTTATGTATAGAGAGTCTAATATGCTACTAATTCCTTGTGATCACTGTGACTGTATTTGTATTTCCCTCAGTCAATCTCTCCTCCACTACATCTCCTATGGATGGAAGGCTGATGTCCTCTCACATGCAAAAAGGAACGGCAAAAGGGCCCACATAGCGTAATTCCGTTTTATTATAAACAGAGTTAAAATTACTTGCACTTAATAAAGTTTTTTAAAACCATGAAAACTGCCGAACTGGAAGTCAAGGTCTGGCGTGTGTTCCACTGGCCGGATATGACGTCACATCTGGTCTTCGTCTAAAGCATTTTGTCTTCAAAGGCGCCCTTTATACATAAGAGTCCACAACTGTCGGAGTGTTGGAACAAAGGAGGGGTGCACCGCACAGTAATTTTGGAAGGAGACTGCACAATGCCACTATAGACTGCACAATTATTTGAACTTAAAGTTGATTGGTATTTGCACAGATATTGAATATATATTACTGTACAAGAGAGCGCTTTGAGAAGTTTTCATCTTGGTTTGCTATATAAGGGGGACAATAACTAGCTCAGCAGCAGACTTAAAATACCTAATGTTTATGACATAATAATTTGGCAGGATTTACACAGCACTGTTTTTTACACTTTTATATTTTAGTAATTTATTTGGTAACACTGTGTGTTTCTAGTCTTAACTAGAAAGGGGAAAACCCAATTCTTTGGGCCATAAGCCTGAACAGTCTGGTTCAGTTACCTAAAAATGGTGGAACTAAATGCTGAGGTGCCCTTCTGGGAAGACAAAAAAGGAATCTGTTTTTCGAAATGAAGCTGTGGCTGAGAGACTTGCACAGCCTGAACCATATCCAGACAATGGAGGAAAACAGCCTTTTGATGAACTGAAGCCAGACAAAGGGATGGACGAAAGTGTCTTGGTTAAGGTGAAAAGCAAAGACTACCTTAGGCAAGAAGGAAATCCTGGGCCGTAATACCACCTTGTCCTCAAAACCAAAAAGGGTTCTTTGTGAGATAAGGCTGCCAGTTCAGACAAATGCCTCACAGAGGTGCTCGCTACAAGGAAAGCTTGTGGGCGAGAGTAATGTAGACAATGGTTCAAATGGCAGCTTCTGAAGTACTAAGGTGACCAGATTGAGATCCTAATGACTTAAATGTGAAGACTGGGGGTATCACATGAGATGAATAATTAGAGAGTATGAACCTATCAGTCTGAAAAAGAATCAAAAGTGCAAAGTTTGATAGTGCCAACTCCCAAACATTGATAGAGACCTAGCTACATGAAGAGAAGCATGAAGGGTTGAAGCTCCTGGTCTCAAACCAATGACTTCCATGTGCAATGATCTATTTTGTGGGAGGTGGAATTCGTATTCTTAAGCATCAGAGGAATCACAGAGTCTGAGATGTCCCTTTTCCTTAGGAACTGGGCTTTAACAGCTATGCAATTAAAGCCAGCAATTGTAGAGCAGGATAGGAAATCCACACTTGGGACAATAGATCTAAACCAGGGGTGTCAAAATGGCGGCCCTCCAGCTACTGCAAAACTACAAGTCCCATCATACCTCTGCCTTTGGGAGTCATGCTTGTAACTGTCAATCTTGCAATGCCTTATGGGACTTGTAGTTTGGCAACAGCTGGAGGGCCACCAGTTTGACACACGTGATCTAGACTATATGGCAAAGTCTTCAGTGTATCTGCTAGACGTTTTACCAGGCTGTCGTACCACATTTGCCTGGAACAATCCAAATTCATGAGGATTGTCCGTATGCTCTCCAAAGATCAGGGTGTACCGATCCAACAAAGCCATCACTGCTTCCACCAGTGGATCTCTAGACCTGGATACAAAGCTGTCCAGTTTGTTGTTGAACGGCAGTACACATTCGGCATTCCCAAACTCTGCCCCAGTACCTAGAAATTATGTGGGCGTAGAGACCACTTTCCTGGATGCAGGTTGTGCCGCCTGAGAAAATCTGCCTACCAATTGTATACCCTTAGGACAGGGGTCTGCAACCTTTAAGACATAAAGAGCCACTTGGACCCGTTTCCGAGAGGGAAAAAAAAAGACTGGGAGCCGCAAAACCATTGCAACATTTAAAACAAATCCGACACTGCATATATTGCAAAAAGCGCTCTGGTCATGAAGGGGGTTTAAGGGCCCAGTAAGCAAAGGGTTAATCAGGGCCACAGTGTATCGTCATAATCACAGTCATAGCCTTAGGTCAGTGGTGGGCAACCTTTTTTTTCAACTGAGCCAAATCTCGCCAAAACCACGATTGAAATTTATTTTGAGAGCCACATTTTTAAAACTGAAAATACATCCCCCATATAGTAATTCATCCCCCATATAGTAATTCATCCCCCACATAGTAATTTATCCCCCACATAGTAATTTATCCCCCACATAGTAATTCATCCCCCACATAGTAATTCATCCCCCACATAGTAATTCATCCCCCATATAGTAATTCATCCCCCATATAGTAATTCATCCCCCATATAGTAATTCATCCCCCATATAGTAATTCATCCCCCATAGTAATTCATCCCCCATAGTAATTCATCCCCCATAGTAATTCATCCCCCATATAGTAATTCATCCCCCATAGTAATAATTCATCCCCCATATCGTAATTCATCCCCCCTATAGTAATTCATCCCCCCTATAGTAATTCATCCCCCATATAGTAATTCATTCCCCATATTGTGTCAATTCACTTACCTTTGCTCCGCGCGTTCCTCTCGCCGTGTTCCCGCGCCGTTCCAGTCTTCAGGGCGGACTGTGAGAGGAGAGGAGTTCGTCACGCTGCCCCGCCTACATCCTGACAGCCAATGTTTGCCACGCTCCGCGGGCCGGATTAAAAGGTCCGGCGGGCCGTAGTTTGCCCATTGCTGGGCTAGCTGCAGAGTCCTGACTTTTGGGGCGGCCGCCCGAGAGGAGGGAGGGGAGCGGGCGCCCGGCACACAGAAGAGCCGCGGCTTGCCGACCACTGAGCTACGGCAACCCTATTGCCTGTCACCTGGTGGGCAGTGTGCTCCGGAGCCGCAACAAAGGTGAAAAAGAGCCGCATGCGGCTCTGGAGACGCGGGTTGCAGACACCCGCCCTAGGACTTACACTGCTGACAGGCTGAAACATGGAGTTTTGCCCAGGACAGGCTCAGATGTAACTCATTTGCATGGTGAGACTTCTGGTTCTTCTTTGACAATTATATGTCACTGTCATAGGGTTATCTAACTGAATCTAGAGCAGCTGGACTGCTAACTGGTTGGTCAAACACTATAGGGACAGCAAGGAGATGTTCATCAGGAAATAAAGTTCTTCCTACAACCAAGACCCCAGCACCAACAAGGTGCCCTAGACTCTCCCTGAGCCTGACAAAATGGGGTCTGCAAGAATTTTCCAAAGAGGTGCAAATAAAGGACTTTACTACTAGAGTGGGATTCCTGAGCCACCAACTCAGGGATGGCCTGGCGTTAACTGTATCAGCCTGTCTAGAAAAAAGAAAAAAAAAAAAGACTTGACAAGATTTGACACACAATGGCAAAATATTGCGCTACAGATGTCAGGAGTGAAATTAGGCAAAAGGAACCACCTCAAAAAGGCTACCATTAACCCCAAGACACTCATGCAGAAGCAGAGAGTCTGAGGGTTTCCAGACGGAAGAGTATGAACCTTAAACTTGAAAGTCTGAAGCTCTCCTGAGGAAGAAATACTCTGGTCTGAGATGTGTCCAGGATCAGACCCAGATGTACCCATACACATAAGTAAGCATCTTTTAAGTCCATAGAATCCAAAAAGTCTCTTTGGTGAGGGGAGGCAGTGACAGATCTCGTTGATTCTATCTGGATTTGTTGGGCCAGAACATTCAAGGTTTTAAGGCCCAGGACAGGGCATATTTGTCTTTGTGTTTTGAAACAGGTTGGAATAAAATCTTTTTGCAATTGGAATTGAAGCTATAACATTTGGGTACAGAAGGCCAGAAAGTCTAATGGAGAATTACTAGTGTGTGGGGAGACACAGGAAGCAAGAGGGTGTAAGGAGGGAGCAGGGAATGAAACTAGAGTTGTAGCTGTGGAACACCACCTCCTGGCAACCAGGGGCATCTCCATAAGAAGATAGATTTGTCAGATGTAGAGTGCAAGACTTTTCAGGTAATCTGGGAACCAAGTTTGGAGAACCAGAATGATGAGGTTTAGGGGGTACAGAAATAAAAGGGAAGCCTTGTTATTGATCGTGGAGGGAGACTACTTTGCAGTCTGCTCCTAGGTTTCTTTCCCTTGGGAAGATGAGTGCTCGCGCCACCGGTAACACCCTTAATTAGAGCATCTAGAGTCGGTCCAAAGACACACTGTCCAACAAAGGTAATTTGGATTAAACGTATCTTACGGGATTTCTGCAGTTCAACACTTTAGCCCCCTGCTTGAGGAAGGAGCGCTCTTCCGCCATTAGAAGCCAGCGCATGCTCCGAAATGCATCGCATTGCATCTTGGTCACTGATGACATCACACCTACGCCGATGTTGAGGTTCAGCGTGCGTTCCAGCCACCATCTTTAGGAGGATGTGCATGCCAGCCGGCTCCACATCTGTCTCCCTCCTGAACCAAGCTCCCTACCACTGAGACTTGGATGATACAGGCACCAGTGACAGCAGTTCCACATGGTGTTTCTACAACACAATACCCTACATGCTTTTATTACTCTACTACCATGTGAGTGTTCCTACTTTTTATTATATATTAAAGTGGTCTGCTGCACTTAGAGGCGCTTCTTCTTCTCTCCTTACAACACTTTAGCCAAACTGCTCTTGTTTTATGTATGTTTAAAGTAGTTGTAATCCTCAGACACGAAGTATGAACAAATCATATCCCTCTATAGTGTGTACTTGTCTCTATTCAAATCACTGTAATTTCTGTCTGCTGCCCCATTCCCCTGCATGAATCCTGACACCAAGAGAAAATAGATGATAGGGGACGGACCTCCAGCAGATTGGCAGCCTCAGTTTTGTTCCTGTGCAGTGTGAAGTGGTGTGTATCCCTTCCCTCCAATCAGTTCTCCTCAATGTGCTCTGCAGTACGTAACTTTAGCTCTCCATCCCCTGTTTTCTGACAGCTCAGACAAGCTTTAGAAATGAAGCACTTTGAGGTTTACAGTTGGGATACACCCAGATGTCTGGAACGGCAGCTGGTTAAGCCTCTCTGCGAGCCACTGAAAGCCTGAGCCAGCAGCTCCATCCCCCTCCACAGCCAACACTCCAGTGAGCACTGGAGGGACAGAGTACAGAGTGATTACTGTTCTTTGATTGCTCATTTCTCAGTGCAGAGCCGGAGGGGACAGATGCAGCATCAGATCACCTAGGGGACTACAATTTTGTTTTTTGTTTAAACCCCATACTTCACTTTCAAATATCTATATAAAATTAGAAAAAAACAAAGGAGGATTATTGTGTATAAACTTTGAGAAAGAGAAAAAACGTCATCTTTTTGTTTAATCTAAAATACATAAAATATGAGGTAAATGTATTGTATATAGTCAAGCCATGGAAATAACTATAAAGCAGCTAGCACGCAAGGTATAGGTAACAATCCCCACATATATATAAAAAAAAGTGCAGCGCTTAAAATCAAAATAAAAGGCTAAATAAATCAAGTAGAACAGTAAAGTGCATCACACTTGTGAGTAAAATAAGCAGCAAATCAGCAAGTAATAATAAAGCAATAATGTCCGTGAATACAAGTGATAATTAGTGCACTACAAGTGCAGATAAAAATAATCAACAGAAAGTATTATAGTACTTATGTCCGTATTCACAGACATTATTGCTTTACTATTACTTGCTGATTATTTTACTTGCAAGTTTGATGTACTTATGTGATGCACTTTACTGTTCCACTTGATTCATTTAGCCTTTTATTGTGATTTTAGCACTGCACCTTTTTTATATATATAAAATCTGAGGTGTTTACAGCAAAGTCCATAGAAACATTATAATTACAATGCCAGCTCAAAAAAGAGAGGTGAGACTGCCCAACTACAATTTCCTTGGCATTGTACGAATATAAAATGATCACATTAGCTGATACTCATTAGATATTAGCAACATCTGGTTGATTACTGAATAAGGTACAATGACTAACTTAAAAAAACACAATTACATTTTGGGATCTAAAGGGTACTAAAAAAATGTATGCATTAAAATGGCCGAAAGATACAGACATGAAAAAAAAAAAGAACAAAAACAAAGCACAAACCTTCTTTCTGTTATTTCCAATTCCAATTTCCATTATTATTGACAAAACATCTCTCTTGAAATAGCCCAGTGTGGGTTTACTACAAGAAACAAAAATGGTACTTTAATACAATAAAGGCAGTTTAATCTACCAAATGTAGAAATACAGATTTAAAAGTTGATGCACTTTTAGTCGACAGTCACGAAGGAGACTGCCCAAACATATTTAAGTTCTAGGTGGAGTATTCCAACTTAGTTACAAACTGGTTTGTTATGTCTTGGGAATAACATCTCCATGCCATAGTTACTGTCTTTGATTCTGGAGTTTTGGGTGTTCCCATCAACCTTGGGGTGTTTTCACTCATACTGAATTCTCCATAATTTTACATGAATTAAAAATCCAACATGGAGGGGGGCACACCCAATTTTGCTCATGTCAGACATGCAGACTTGGGAACACAGGTACATGATCTCCCCATGAGATACATGGAACAACTAGGCAATTTAAAGCTTGAGCATCTACCAAATACTGAAATATAACTTTTGGATGGACTAGCCTTTGAATATTAACACAATAACACCTTAACAGCCTTATTTACATTTCTGCTTTAAATAAAAGTTATGCAAGCTTAAAAAAAGTGAACACTCTGGTGCTCAAAAAGTGTCTCTTGCATCTCTCTGAAGATGTTCTAGGCAGCATCTAAGGAGGTGTTCATCATCTGTCTCTGAGCTCCAGAAGCATTACTGTCAGGGTCCTGTCCACGGCAGGAGTTTTGGAAGATCCGGCATTTCTGCCAGTACTCTAGATGGCCGCAGAAGTACATATCAGCCTCAGTCTGGTGCCAGGCGGCCTTTATAAGGAGGCTCATCACTTCCTCTAGTTGCTGGATGATCTCTAGCTCCTCGTGCCCTGTTTCCTGTGATTCTGACTTGTGAATTTCTGTTACCGACTCGGCTTGCTCCTGGACCTGTCTACTCTGATTTACCCCTGATCTGACCTCGGCTTGGCTTACGGATACTCTCTCTCTCGCTCCTCTGTGAATGACCTTGGCTATCCCATCTGACTACGACCGCTCTGATTCCCACCTGGTACCTGACCTTGGCTTGAACCGACTACCCAGTAAATATCCAAATCCTTTAAGGGCTTGCATACCACGCACAGGAGCCTCCTGTCTGCAGACCTATCTCCGTGCACCAGCTGTGCTTCTGAGTGGACCTCCAACCAGCACTCCTACAGGTGGCCTGTGCAACTTTGGGCCAGACTCCCGCTGTCCCACTCTCAGGGGAGTCCGGAACTTAGCCGCAAGGGAAGCCCTCTCTCCATTGGCCTCCATCACCAGGTACGTGATAATTACACACTTTCATATACTATGAAGCCAAAATGAAGTTTGATGAATTTATTGCTATTTTATATACTTAATGTAATTGATTATCACTTGCTAGAATGTTACCCCCTTCCTGCTCACGCCGGTGTCCTTTTAAAAAGTTCTGAATGCCAGAGGGTGGGAAAGATTGGCCTCTCACACTATCACAGTGGTCAACTGGTCGGAAGATGGGCCCGACAGTTACTAGTCATTAGCAGGAACCAAAAACTTTCACTCGCAGCTTCGTCTCTGTGCTGGCAGCTCGCAGTGAGCGCACTCAGCATGTAAACATCGGCCGCCCAGGGACACACATGTGCGGCACGTGGACATTAAAGCCCACCCCTTTGCTGCCAAATATATGTGTTAGACGGTCGTAAATTGGTTAAAGAAGAACTCAAGGAATGTGATTATTTCATACACTTAATTATTTTCAGTCCACTGTGGTCTGGTCACGTGATCCAGCTTCCCTGTGTCAGTCAGCAGCAGCTGCAGGGGAGAGGAGAGAGCGCTTGCTTGACAATGGTTGGTAAAGCCTGGAGCGGTAATTTCACCCTATTCCTATGGCACATCCATTGATGGTGCTGTCTCCTCTCCCCTGCTGCTGTAGCTGGCTGACACAGGGGAGCCAGATCATAAGATGTTACACTCTGCATATGTGTATATGCCCATGTGAGCAGGGGGGCTTTAAAACATTAATGGCTTTTTTGGTGCTTTTTGCAGAAACGCACTACAGTCCATTTAACATGGTTTCCTATGGGACGTGTTCACATATATAGTTTTTTTTTAGCCGTAGCGTTTTTGGGAAGGGTTAGGCACTTTTTGTAAATGCAAAACGGTGCGTTTTTGGTCATTGTACTTCAATGGAGACCCTCCAGAAAAATCATGTAGTGTATTTTTGATGCAATTTGTGTTTTCTTTTAGAATCTCAAATTGGCCCCACAAAAACCCATTAAAAAACACGCGAGAAGGACAGCAAAAAGCACTGCAGAAATGGATCAAAAGCAAACTGCGTATGTGTGCACCATGCCTAAAGATTTGTTTTGTTATTTTTCTTTATATTATTATAATACTAATAATAAGAAGCCTGCACAATTATTTGAACTTTAAACTGTTACTAAACCAACAACAGTAAAATCATTCGGTATATGCAGTAAAGCATGCTTGTTATACTCCCTGTGGAACCGAAGGGGTTCATTCTCTGCATTGTGTAAAAAGGCTGTTTAATCCTGACTTCTCTGCCCCTCCATCTTTTTTTTTCTTGGGAGAGGGCATGTGATCAGAACAGGGCCAATCAGCACTGTCCAGACAGAGGTCAGTGGTTCTGCACCCTCCCAGAGCAGAATGAAAACTCCTCCTACAAGCTTTAACCAGTGCTTTGCTGAACACTGATCGAAGTCATAAGACTGCTCTAACTGCCGATGAGAAAAGGTATTTAGCAGTTTATATTTACTAAAATAATTTAATTTACATGTTCTGTGTACTGTGGGAGACCAGATATAGTGAATGCAGGGTCCTGGATCTAGTAACACTTTAATGGTATTACTATTGCAAAGGATCAATTCATTCCAGATTTAGATCAAGTCGCCAGTAGCCTGATACTTATAGTAAAAACAAACTAATGTCTGCTTATGTAGCTGTGATATTGTTTACGCCCCATCAGGCCTCATTCACATGGTCATTTCTAAGCATACACCCATGTGATGGCCGTATTTTTCCTGCACTGGATGCACAGGTATTCAGTGTGCAGGCAATTACATCAATTGGGAGGCAGAGGCTATATGAACACAGATGCAGCTCCAATTTTGACAGTTTGAGTTCTGGCAACCGCACCCAAGTGGATGTCAAATTAAGAACAATGTCTATGCCTGTGCAGCTGATGTGTCCCAATTAACATGAATGTGACTGCCTGCATGTGGATGCATGCAACACCCGTGCATACCATGTAGGTAGTACACGGCCCTGATGCGATTTTACACTTAAATATGCCCATGTGAAGTGGGGCCAGATGCTCTATCATTTCCATAAACATGGATCGCAGATATTGCTCCTTCAGGAGACTCATTTTCGCTCCGATGTTATCCTAGTCCTCCACAATCGTTATTATACTCAGTGGTATCATAGTACTAATCCGCTGGCCTGGTCTAGGGGGGGTGTCGGTGGCTTTTCATCATACCTTTGGCCCTGAGGTCTTGGACTCACTAATACATCCAGCTGGGCGCTACCTCTTCCTCAAATTGAAGTTCCAAGATTTTGTTTTCACGGTGGCGAACGTATACGCTCCCAATCAAGATCAGGCTCCATTTCTCGCAACGGTCCTCTCTAAGCTGTCCGATTTTGGGGGTCCCTGTTTTATTGTTGGAGGGGACTTTAACATAGCATTCTCTCTAGACCTGGACACTTCCATGGGTAAATCTTCTCTCGCTTCATCGGTCTTATCCCTTATTAAGTCACGCTTGCATGAATTACATTTAGTGGACGTTTGGCGAATCCAACACCCTTCGGAGCAAGACTATAGTTATTATTCTGCAGCTCACGCGTCATACAGTCGTATTGACTATTTCTTTGTGTCACAGTCTTTCCTAGATTGTCCGACTTCTTCCTCTATCGGTCATTTCCTATGGTCTGACCATGCCCCAATACATCTTATGATTCAGGACCATCATCTCTGCTCCACTTTTCTTGGCGCTTGAATGATACTCTGCTCAAGGATTGTGTGTTGTGAAGGATGTGCAGACTAATTCAACATTTTGTTCTTGATCATTCATTGGACACTACTGGCCCTCTCAATCAATGGGAGAACCTTAAATGTGTTCTTATTAAACATGGCTCTCGTTTAAAAAAGGCTCGAACGATGGAGATGTGTCGCTTGTTCTCAAGCCTGGAATCTTCACACAAAAGAACGTTGGACCCAAGGATTGCGGTGGACTTAGCTAATGCTCACAGAGATTTACTCCAACTTTTAGATTCTTCGTCTCTTGTTGCACAAGACAAAGCACGCAACACTCACTACTCCCTAGCAAATAAATGTGGTCAACATCTGGCACGTGTACTCCACCCCCATCCATTCCGTTGTTCAACCCAGCACATCAAGGCACCTGACAATACTAAACTCTACCACAATAGGGGAATTTCATCTGCGTTCGAGCGTTACTATTCTCAACTCTATAATCTATCCTCGGTGCATCCTGCTGCTGCTCCCGCTTCCTCTCTTATGGCTATGTCCCAATACATTATGGAGACGGCACTGTCTGTTCTAGATGCCCAGGATGCATTGGATCTGGAGGAGCCCTTCTCAACTATAGAAGTTCTGGGAAAACTGGTAAGTGCCCGGGCCCAGATTGGTTTACCCCTCGCTTTTACAAAACTTTTGCTGCCCCACTGACCCCGCTTTTGGCCCAAGCTTTTAATATCGACGATCTGAAAGTGCCTTCTTCAGCTTTTATGTCCGCCAACATTTCAGTTATCCCAAAGCTGGATAAAGACCCTTCTATTTGCGGTAGCTACCGCCCAATCTCTCTACTTAATCTAGATGGTAAGCTTTTTGCTAAGCTTTTGGCGAACCGCCTCTCCCCTTTTTTTACCAACCTTGGTCCATTGTGATCAGGTTGGTTTTGTCCCAGGTCGTGAAGCTAGTGATAATACTTCTAAAACTATCCATCTTATCTCTTATATCAAACAACATGGCTCAAAGGCTTGCCTCCTTTCATTTGACGCTGAGAAGGCGTTCGATCGCATTG